TATACCAAAAAAACTGTTCCCAATACACTTCTGAAAAGTAAATTTGCACTTTTCAAAGTCTCTCAAGACACAACGAATAGCAGAACATTGTCTATGAAGATCTAGCTCATATAAATTAAGATATTTACTGGGTGACACCAGAAAGGAAAAGAATAAAAGGACGGAACTAAAAAAAAGTATTTTAAAGCCTGTAAGTAAAATTAGATTCGTTTACCCCAAACACAACCCTTGCGTGACATCAATAGATGTTCCACCACGTTACAAAAGAAAATAGTTACATCAACAGATGTTTAACTAAAAAACCACCAAAATAGTCACATCAAGAGATGTTTAACTAATGTTTACAAAAGTAATTAAACAAAAACAACCGTCTTCAAAGAAGATTCAGCTGCGCCCCCTAGCACTCCACTTGGCTGCGCCCCTTAGTACTTTGCCTAGCTGCCACCATAGACGTGATTCAGCTCCAGTATTCTAGTACGTTACTTCTTACAATGTTTCGAAGCTAGCTTTCAAAGAAAATTCATTTATAGTTGAAGAAATTTTTGAAACTAAAAGAAACAACACAAATTAAAATAAGCAGCTGGCTTCAAGGAAGATTCAACTACTAATACCAAATACTGACTTCAAAGAAGACTCAGCAATACCAACAGGTAATAACAACGTATTTAAGTTTAAACACGTACAAAAGAAAAAAACTTATCCCACTGTGCATACACACAGGATATTTAAGCGACAAAAATGTGTTTATCCAATTTATAGAATAAAATGACAACAAACCCTTAAATACAAGAAATAAAGAAAAAAAACAAAACAAAGATTAAATACATAAAAAAAATATTTACCCCACTGTGCAAACAACACTTGGAAATGCATAAGAAATATTTTACCCCGCTGTGTAAAAGCCATAAATTCACCACCAAGACCAATTTCAATCACCATTATCAATGTATATCCTGGTCACCCGGCAACAAAATGTAATGTAATGTATGTATTTTTTGTAACCCGATTCTTTAAGTATACTGAAATACTTGTTTTGGCATATTCGTGATCGTCTAGTTAATTTACTTACTTTATAAAAATTAGGACTCTACGTTGTGTATTTACTTACATTGATAATAACGATATTTTGAAATTGGTCAGGTTTAATGAAACACAAGTATTTAATTTTAAAACCCCTGATTTAATTTTAGCAAAGACAAAGGGGTGGCCCGTTGAGTCAAAGCACAGGGAAAAGGGACCATAAAAACCCTGGCGACGTACACAGTTCAAATAAAAATAAAATACAAAACAAAACATGGTTATATGGGTCATAATCACAAGAATATAGTATAAATAATAAGTGAATAAAATAACATAAAAAGCAGATAAACATATTTCATATAATTTGGGTGTTTTTATCAATATTCAAAACATTTTGTACTCAGGTAAAATAGTTATAATAGAGATCGTCATTTTATGACGAAGTGTTTGTTTATTTGATTACCTTACCACGCATCTTCGAACTATTGAACGAGGATACGATTTTATATAAATAAACTACAACAACGACATATTTCTGATAGAGAGAATTCATATGCTTTAACCAAGTGCCGATATTTAACCGTAGCCAATAACCACACTATGGAACAATTGCATACTCTGCGAAGTGATATAACGACAGCTATGGTGGTCCTATCTCACTAAAGTGTCGCTATATCACAATATGTTCAAATATTCTTACAAAATCAATGTCCAGAACAAGACAAAAGTATTGCAAAAATATACAAACAATTCTGCACACAGAGTTTATATAGGTAATAACATAAAAACACCATTTTTCTTCTAAGGATAAATCCTTTTGAAATAATGCTAATATATTACCCATGTTCAAATATTCATGTATGAGCACTCTCCAAACGAAAATACAAGTACAAATACAGACACAAATAAAATAAACAATATGCAATAAAATAAAATGGTATAAAATATAAATAAAATACAATAAAATAATAAATAGGAGAGAGTCATAACAAGAAACACCTGAACATGGCCAAAACTCTAACCACCAGAAAGTATCGCGCTGAATAATAACATAAAGAGATTTTTATCATATATAGTAACGTTAAAGCCATTATCAAATATTCCAAATAAAGCGCTAAGATAAGCAGTTTAAATCAAAGTCTCTATCCAGAATCTATCAAAAGGTTAAACGATACTATTACCTTACCATGATATGACCTAATGGTAATATCAAATTTAATAATAATAATAAGAGCAATAATAATAATAATAATAATAATAATAATAATAATATTTTATAAACCTTACCCAAATAATACCAATATTATAATAATAATATTATTGTTAAAAGCTTTAGCCTGAGTACAAATGCAAAGAGTTAAAATAAATAAATACCTTAATACCGAGATGATACACTGAGTTTCATAAACAATAAAATACATTTCAGTTAAATAAAGTTATACAAAGTTATACAAAAGGAAACAGCAAAATCAAGGCCAGTGTAACTCAAAATAAAGAAAATACAAAATAGTAAAATTTAAGTCAAACGTAATTCAGTGTACATGCGACAACATAAAGATTAAAACTCAGTGTATGCGCGATATCAAGATATTAAACCAAAATAATGAAATAGTGATACAATAAAAATCATTACCAAAAATCACTCGCCATTTACACATATTAAAATGATTAGGACCCAATAAACTAGCAATGATAAACGTCATAGACAAAAATGCGAATTAAATAATATTGTTCAAAATTATAAGCAAATTATAAGCAAAAATGTATTAAGAAAACCCAAAACGAGGAGTTGTTTATCATTACTAGCAAAAATTACAATTTAAAAAAGTGTACATACCTAAGTAGTTATAGCAGAAAATCGGTAACAATCACAAAAACTATAACTATATTATACTTAATATATTTCACAAACGGTTTAACAGGAGTATCTCGAAGGGCGAGCAAAAACCCTCTGTCTATGATATTTCCTAATCTCGCTTTTAAACATCTCAGCCACTTAAGCAAGAATGTCCAACATAAACAGTCTTCATAATATTTCTACGTTGAGATACAAAGAAGTGAAACTTTAAAACTCAATAGGGTTTTAAAACATAAAATATCTTAAAACTATAATATTATTTTTAGTGGATTATTTAAATTTTCTTTGGTTAAAATAGCGCCAAATTCGAATTTAAAAGTTTATATACTACAGGACCCTTACAATATTAAGTTGCCAATCACAAACAATTTTACAATAAGTTCTTAATGTTTAATAAAACGTAATTCTATTTGTCTTATAATATTATAACACATATACAAGTATTTTTTCTAGAGAGTTTACATAAACACGAGAGATTTCCTCCTCCTTGGGCTGTAGAGTTTCAGAGGTACTTTGACGTGGCCTTAAACACAGCCAAGCAAGTTGAAGCAACGTGCCAGAAATCAAAGAAAAGCCTTATTTTACAAAACCAATTAAAAAACTTTTCTTAGAATTCTTCATACAAAAACTGTTTTTTTCCAATTTTTATTGTTTAAAATATTGTTTTATGATAATTGTTTTTTTTACATATTTTGATTTTTTTTATTATAATTAAAAAATTTAAATACAAAATGTTTTAATTGTTATCTTTGCTTGCATTTGTAATTTTAATTATAAAAAGCGTTTTATTTACCCAATTTTCAAATCCTCTCCAAAAAATTAATAGATTTTTTCTAAAACCGAGCGAAAAGTACAAATTTGCCTTTCCAAAAGAAAGCGCAAAGTTGCACTTTTTCGAGGAGCAAGCGTTTCTTTACTTTGTCGCTCGCCGAGCGACAAAGTAACCAAAACGCTCGCTTAGTTACCATGGAAACCATAATAACGAAACGTCTAGTATACACTGCGACTTTTGACACAAAAGTCAAATTTGAGGTTATCAATAATTATTAAGTATTACTAAACATTTTTATAAAAACAGCGGTTGTAGAAAAAATCCTGTGTGTAATTCGAGCGCAAAGTGACATTGCCGCTCTCGCGAGATAGCAGCGCTCCGCTACGCGTCGCCCATCAAACTTCTCGCTCAGAGCGACAATATATCACTTTGCGCTTTTAATACCCAAATAGTTATTAATTTAAACGAGAAAAACATTTTTTTGTGGTAATGTTCTTTTAAATATAATTATAATAGAGTATAATATACTCTATTATAATTATATTATACTCTGGATTTGTTGAAATATTTACCAATTATTGGTAACCAATATCATGGCATTGGTCAATTTTAACCTACCTAACTTAATCCAAACTGCTTTTGCATATTATTGGGCACAATTTAATAATTTATTGTTGGCCATCGCGATTGCACAAAAATCATAGAAATATCAAGTACATATTGTACATTTTTTGGAAAAACTTTTTCAAAGGTACAGGCAATTCTTGGCCAAGGTTTGACCTGATATGGTTCTCTGGGTAGGATCGGGTTACAAGTGGTAAAACTAATTATAAAATCCAACATATTTATTATTTAATAATATTACATTACACCTTCAATAACAATTATAAAGTTATAAAGTTATAAAGTGCTCTTTTAGTTCCACCCTTACATCCAAACTAAGATGTCCCATAAGCCAACTGAATGGCTTGTGCGGGTTAGGGGTAGGAACGGACCGACGGCTTAAAGTCCCCTCCGAAGGACTATACACAATGGACAAACACAAATAAACAACCATACCCAAGTGGGATTCGAACCCACGACCTCTCGGCTCGTACCCAGGAGCTCTGACCACTACACCACCGAGGCCGGTAAAATACAATTCAATACAGATATACATATTTATAGGTACCCAATACCGCAAAAAAAAAACGTTGAAACGTTAATATAACCATTGAGTAAGGAAATGATATAACAATAATATAGATGTGAACATTCTTTTAACAGCTATTTAATATTTTGTTATAAAATACATTAAAATATAAAATAGGTAGGTAGGTACCAGTATACATTATAATGTATACTTACATTTTAAAACATGGGATCGTTCATGAGTTCATAAGAATTTAAAAACAATATATGGTCTACATCACTCGGTGGTAAAGGTTTTCTGTTATTGTTTCTTAACCGCCCATATTTCGACAAGATAATTTCAAAGAGAATGCATGTTTTAGGAAAACATAGGTATTTTAAGCTCAAATCGTATAGCTCAGGAAACGCAGTTTTGTTATCAGACCAGAATTTTAATGGATCTATGCTTGGAGCCTTGTTTCCTAATTTTAAGTACTCATCAAGTTCTTTTTCTGCATCTAACAAAAACTCAGACTTTGAAAATTGATTTCTTGTTTTATCTTTATTTTCTTTTGTTGTAAATCCTTCTGTTTTGTATCTTGGATCCAAAATGTTGGAACATTGAACTATAGTATTTGTCTCCATAACTTTATAAAGTTTATTTACTGTATCCATCAAAGTACTATATTGATGTCGATAGTTATTATTACTATTTTTATAATTATCTAAAACCTGCTTAAAATTCTTCATTATTATTAACATCGATGAAAAAGTTTCTTTTTCATCATCAAACAAATTTTTGTAAAATAGTTCTACACTTTTAAATGATTGAAATTTCTCTAATTGTTTCCAATCTTCTTCACTCAACCTAAAATTTAACATATCTGGATGCTTTTCATAAAAAATGTTGAGAGGTTCCTTTAATTTTAATAGTTGTTCTACCATTAAAACCTTATCTCTCCAAATGTATGAATCATTTGATTCTATGTATGTGATAATTTTGTGAAGTTCAAATTGGATACTTTGGATATTTTTCGTTGCAGTATTTTTAATCCCTATAATATGCTCTCTACATTTTCTCAATAAATCATTATTCATATGTTCATTAATAAATGTGTCAAAATAATATGCGATACAAGGAATATGCTTAAAACTTGTGTAATTTGTAACCGCTTCCTCTATTTCTTTTTTAGTCATAACTCCAACAACTTTACTTGTAATATTCCATTCTTTTATCACTTTTTTTATAACATTTCCAATGTTTTCAGGATTGATTATCCAAGATCTTTCTCTGGTTGCCAAAACGTAGGAGTATAATTTATCGCCTTGAATAAAATGGGCTGAAACCGTGATGTAACCAATTTCTCTACGTGATTCCCATACGTCAATTGTAATTCCCACGTACTTAACATCATTTAACTTCTTTTGGATTATTTTTTTTGCATCTCTGTAATTTTTTTCCATCTCTTCGCGTATTTGATCTTGATTTGGTAAATTATATACAGGGGATATTGATTTGACAAAATTTTTAAAACCATCATTGTTCACCATTGATATAGGAATAAAATCTTTTAGAATCATTTCTATTATTTCTTTTATTTTTGATTTTTCCATATTCGCACTTTCTACTTTTGACACTCAACTACAATATACATTATACAATTATTTAGTAAGATTGATTTTGATTATATAGAATATATTTATCTATAGATTTATCAATTAATCTCATGCAATCTTGCAAACTAAAACAAAGGCGGTACTAATTTATCAAACATAAGTAAAATAATAAATTTAATTTAATTTATTTAATATTAAGAGCCCAAATAAATGCTTAAAAATTAATTTTCTTTATTAATACAATTTAAAAAAAAGTCAGTGGACCCCAATACTTATTAAATTTATAGTTATTTTATTTGAAGTAAAATTATTTGATTAATTATAATTTGCTAGCCATACCTACACAAATGTTGTTTGAATAAAGGTGAATCTCATGAAATGTCCCCCGATGGTGTTACCCCGTGACATTTAATAAAACTAAATTAGTTTGACTTACACTTTTAGTGTGTTTTGATCTTTCATAATTAAGTAGATATTAAAGCTCAGGTTCCAGATTTTTAACCGCAATTAATTATTTTTTACAATGTTTTAAAACATATCATCCGTGACTGTTACTTTTTCTAGGTTAACCTATATGTTTTCAAATATCTGAGGTAGTAAAAGCATACTAAAAATATCAGTTCACTAAGTAAATTAAACACATCCAAAGCAATCGAATCAAATATAAAATATTAAAAATTAAAAGAAATAATTTTTATAACCATTTATGTAGGTGTTACAAAAATTGATTCTATCATCCGTGAATCTGTTTTTGCTTTAAATTTTATGCAACGGATGACGCTTTAATAATTTTAAATAAGCAAAAACCTCTGTTTACGACGTAGATGCATGTGATTCCTGAAGGTCAGTTAGAATTTATATGCAGATGAGAGTGTTGCTGTTTTATAATTCAAATGTTTAAGTTCATTAATTTGCTAGTGAAGTGTAATATCTCAGTAAGTAGATTTTTTTTATAAATATTTTATGGATGTACAATTGTATTTTTTTTTAAATATTAGGTAAGGTGTAAAAGATACAATAAATTATTTCAAATATACAAAGGGATGTTTTAAAAAAATATACGAAATCCTAACCTCCGTGAAGCTATCTTCCGTGAAGCTCTAATATTTAAAATGTATGATTTCCTAAAATTCTTGCATTAGTGCAGAACCTCGTGAGGGATATTTTAGGCCTAAATCTGGCAACACTGATGCAGAACCACTTATGTTATGTTATTACTAGACCTGGTGGCTTTCCAAAAACACCATTCTGGACTAACAGTGAAACAACCAATAATAAAAAATAATCATTTTCACTTGGGGAACATTTCAATATATTCATATAAACTAATCGAATAAAATTAAGCATATTAAGATATTTTGACCAAAACATAAATTTAACAATACAATTTTCTACGCCCTGTATACTTTATTTTATTATTTGGTAATAAAAACGTAAAAGTGAAAGAATCTTAGACAAAAAAGAACGAAGTCGAAAAAACGCAATAAAGGTATCAGTCGGTATTCAGTTTGATTTCAACTTTGTTAAAAAATATGCTTAACTTTTTTCGATCAGTTTATTATATCACGGGAACTATGAATTTATTTGGGTAGCTCAGTAGTTTTTTGTTTGGTTTTTGTTGGAAAATGTTGAATGCAAAATAATTTAATAAAATCACGAGACCGCGTAGCGGTCGAGGGGTTTTATTTTTAATTATTTTGCATGAAACTATTTTCCAAAAAGAAAAATCAAATAAAAAACTTACTGAGCATAGTTTGACAGATTAAATTTATAGGTTGAGTGATATACGTCTAGATTATTTCTCTAATTAAAGTAAACTATTTGCCCATTCATAAAATCTGACGTAGGTATGTGTCAAAGTTTATAAATATTTTTTTAAAGAAAATTCCACACCTGTAATTTTTAACCAATTAAAACGTGTATTTTTGATAGATCACCATGGCAACGGTTGAATTTTAGTGGAAATTTTTTCCTCGTGGGTACCCAACAGCGAATTATACTGGAAATTTTTTTGACGTTTATAATGACAGAATATTTTTTTGACAATCTGGTTTTTATTTGTTTACATGATAATTTTGATACATTTCCATTACAAAGTTTAGATGTTTTCTATATTCGTTGGACACCTCCTTTCTTCTTCCCTGATAGCACAGTTTATTCTAAGAATGTTTTTTAAACCTTCCAGTGAGAATATTCTTAGGATCATGCTATATATCTTCTAGGCATGTTCTAAGAATGTTTTTTAAACCTCCCAGTGAGAATATTCTTAGGATCATCCTATATTTCTTCTAAAGAACATGCTTAAAAGAAATATAGCATAATCCTAAGAATATTCTCACTGGCCTCTAGGCAGGTTCTTAGAAGGTGCAAAGTTTAGAGGTAAAAATTAATCCACTCTAAACATATGCTTAGAATATTGAGAAAGTAATTAGTATTAAATACTAAGTAAATTTAGTATTAAATACTAAGTAAATTTACTTTACTTACTTTACTTTAAAAAATATTTTGGGTTGTTTTTAAAAACAACCCAAAATATTTTTTATAGTTATTTATCAAATTAAAACAATATTAGATAACAAAAATACTTTTTCTTACTACCTCGACTCAAAATACGTTGTTTCGTCCCCGATTTCACGGCAGAAAGTTTACGTTTCTTGCATTGGTCAAGCTATACGCGCACACTCTAATAGCGGGAGTAAAAATTTTTTAGTCGTGTGCTTAACATTCAAATTTCGTACTGCCAACATGAGAAACACAAAAATATGACAGTTTTAAACCATAATTTTGCAATTATAACAACAAATAAACAATTTATGTTTTTACTTTTTTACTTGTTATGTTGTTTTAAGTGTTTAATGGTACTTTTATTTGTTATAAAGTAGTAATTTGTTAATTAAAATACAACGTTGTATGACTTCAAATTTGGACCATTTTGATTTTTGACTTTTTAAACTACAGATTTCCAAGCGTCCTTGCATAAAACCGCCTCTAAGCGTCCAAAAATACAGCAAATCTTTTATATTGCCACTACCTAGCGTCCGGCTTGTATATTTTGCTTTTATTCTGACGATTTCTGAGCGTCCGGCGATGTTGTCAGATTTAGTACTGTGTGGCTTTAATTTCGCGTACCATAGTTAGCTAGTTCTAATAGGATCATAGCATAATGCGGCGGAAATCATCCGTAGTGTGGCAGGGTGAACAGCTGTGCCTTTAGTTCCATAATTAGCGGAAGAATAATGAAACGGACTAGGAGACATCGAGGAGTGCAGGTAATAATTGAATTATTCTTAATAAAGACCAACTTATGAACATTTTTTCTTTTGACATTATGCTAGGTTAGCGGCTGCAGAAGATTTTTTTAATAGTCAAGAAAATATATGTTATGTATACATTTTAATTCGATATCTTTATAATAATAAACAACATTTTATAACAAATGGTATTTTTATTTTAATATTTGTACGATTTTCACCCTTGCAATAGAGAGCGGAAATGGATATCGAAAAATCATTAATGAAATAATGAAAAGTAAAATAAATAAAAATTATCTTTACTCTAATCAAACCATTTTATTTAACTTTAACAAAATAACACAAATAAAACAAATAGGTAGCAGTTTTACTAAAGTAGTAGTTTTCATAACAAAAAACTATAATGTTTTTAGATTAGACCGAAACCATTTAACAAGTAACTGTAAAAGAGGTGGAGGAGTTCTTATTGCTGTCAGGCAGATGTTTACTTCAGTGGCTATTAAAACTGAGGTCATTGATGTGGAACAACTGTTTGTAGAAGTTAGGATAGAAAAATTAAAATTTATAATCGGTTCAGTTTATATCCCACCGAACTCTTCTATTGAAATATACAAAAACCACTGCTCTTCTGTTGAAAGTTTAATGGAAATATATGTTGGTGATGTAGGTGCTTATATATGTGGTGACTATAACCTACCAGGTGTACAGTGGGTAAATGAAGATCTTGGTGTACAAGCTTTAGGTAGAGTAACCGAAAATGTACTAACTGTTGCTGATTGCTTTGCTTATTGTAATTTTTATCAAATTAATTTAATTAAAAATATGTTTAATAATATGTTAGATTTAATATTTTCAAATAATGTAAATGCTACAAGTGAGATTGCCAATGAAACTCTAGTCAAATGTGATAACTATAGTATGGTATACCATCCTGCTATTTGTATAAATGTTAAACTTTCTACTGAAGAGTTAATGAATTATGAATATGTCTATTCTGATTTTAAAAACACTGATTTCGATTCTTTAAATGCTCATTTGAGTATTATTAATTGGGATTTGGTGTTTTTAAACAATGATGTTAATATATGTTTGTCATCGTTTTATGAAATTTTATCCTATTTATTTGAACTGTACGTCCCAAAAAAAAGCGCTTTAAAAATAAATTTCCAGTTTGGTTCTCTAAAGACCTTAAGAATGTTATAATCGAAAAAAAAAATTGCTCACAAAAGATTTAAACAAATTTCATCTAATAATAACTATGAAATATTTTCAAATTTAAGAAACCTTTGTAAAGAATTAACAAATGAATGTTATGTTAATTACATTAATTCATTAGAACTAAATATAGGCAATAATCCAAAAAACTTTTGGAACTATATTAATTCTAAAAAAAAACAGTAATATACTACCATGCAGTATGAATTACGAACATAGTTATTCTGATGATCCTGAGAATATTGCTAACTACTTTGCAAAATTTTTTGGTTCAGTATATACTAACTCTAACTGTGATAATATACCTGATTTTTTCTGTGATAAAACTTTAAATTTAACAAACTGTGATATTGATGAAAAAGATGTCTTTAATGAACTTTTTAAATTAAATCCATGTAAAGGAACAGGACCGGATGGTGTACCTGCTTCGGTTCTGAAAAACTGTAGGTTTTCCCTGACTAGACCTATAACTATGTTGTTTAGGATGTCCTTAAACAATGGTGAAGTTCCCACAATCTGGAAAGAAAGTTA